GAATTGAATTTGATTAAGAATAAACATTAATGATTGATAGTTTTCTAACTTTTAAAATGACTTCTGAAAAATAAAATTAAGAATAATTAGAAGAACCATTCTAAGTTTTTATGAATATATATGAAAATGGAGTACCAAACAATGATAAATTTGATTATAAAGCAATTGACACATGGGAAAACTAAAAAGTCATTGAATTTATATAAAAACAATCTTTTGAGTAGTATAAAATCCTAATCTAAGGAGAATAAGGGTCTGTTTTTAGAGTGAGTGCAACAAGAAGTCAATAACTTAAAACTATTTATCTTTATGATAAGATTATACAAGTTGTTGATAAAGGAGATTATGATTTCTATAAAATAGAGATTTATGATCCTTCAAATTGCGATATTGTATATTATTGAATTCACATTTTTCTTAGGTAATTCGATTGACTCCTTTTAAAGGTTATGCAAAATTATTTGTTCATTATAATATTTAACCACCTTTGTTAGATAGTTATGAATGGAAAGAAGATAATTAAGAAGAAGTATTAATTTATATTTCCAGAAAAGAATTATTAGATAAAAAGATAACCATAAATATTTTATACATTGCTGTTTTGGGTGTAGATTTATGTACATATCAATTACAATGTATATGCGAATAAGAAGGATAATTTCTTCCAGATATTCGTTATCAAAGAATTGTAAATTAATAAGAAATTATGAGGTTAGAGATAATTAATTATCAAAATTAAATTCATTAAATTTTAGTTAATTTTCATATCCTTCAAGGATTAGTAAATATACTAATAACTAATTGTTATGATTAATCTTTTTGTCCACCAGAAGAATTATTTGTAAACCAAGAAAAGTATGAAAAAATGACAGAATATATTATGATATATTCTAATAATGATTAACAACCTTAGTTTATGTTAAAATGTGATTATTTTTGTAATTACTAAATTTTTGCTATTGTTGATAGAAATAGTTAATCAGATGGTAAATTTGAATTCAAATACATAATTAATAAATAAACTACTAATCTAATGTAAAACACACCTCATAAATCAATAATTCAAAAAAATTAATATCAGTATTACTATTTTTTTGTATCTGAATAGGATTAAATATAAAGATTACATTTTATAGTCTCATTAACATAAGGAGAAGTCATCATTTATTTATCAACTAAATATTAAAAACCTAATGAGGAACATTATGAATATAAATCCTAAGATAATTCTATTAATTTTGGTGGGAGATTTCCTAATTAACCTTAACCTGGAAATTACTATATCTCTATTTATGGTCAATCAATATCAAAATATATAATAACTGTTTGGGTTATCAATAATTTTGAAAACTCTTAATAATTAGGGAAGTTTCCTTGGCATTATATTTAATTGTATCAAGGAGATTGGCATGATCATGTTCTAGCTAATGATGAATTTGTTCTTTTTAAAATTGATTTGAAGGGATATCAGAATATTTAAAATTATCCAGTAAATGTAATATTATATAAAAATTATGGATAATTTTAAATGTTTGGTTTTGATCATCCTGAAACAAATGAATTAAAAGCAATATGGTAAAGTGGATAAATAATCAATATTTAAATGAATGATCCTAAATATCCAGAAATTCTCTATTTAAAAATTAGGTTAGATTAAATTGGAGATTTATATGGTAGTTTTAGAATTGCTTTTTATTTTTATAATTAAGAAATTAATTTAATCTAAAATGAACCTTTTTTTAATTTCTTATCTGCATAAAATCAATAGATTTTCAGATATGAATATAGCAAAAAAGAATCTTTTATTATATCAAAAAGATCCTTTGAGCTTGATTAATCTTTCTTAATTTTTGAATCCTTTAATTAATATGGTTTAAAAATTAGATAATTTGAAAATACCAACATAATTTTAATTGAAAATAAAGAAGAAATTTATTGTTAAGATCAACAAAAGTTATGTTTTTAATACTTTTATTTCTCTCTCTATAGTAAAATAGATTAGTTTTATTCAATATTAATTTCTAACATGGACAATTCTGAAATTTAACTTGGAGAAGATTAGCCAATATCTAAATTATTACCAATAGGAGAGGATTACTTTTATCTCTATTGTTAAGATTAAGAGGTTAATATATTAACTTTTAGTTTCTATGAAGAATTAAAAATATATGCATCGATTGTTCAAGATTTGTAATCACCTCATCCAAATTCATTATAATATGATAAGATTTCTATTAGTAGAAAAGGAAGTTATTAAACTTCTCTGTACATTTCATAAAATGAATTGAGAAATTATAAATGTGTTGAGAAATGTATTATCAAATTAACAGTTGTTGTATCTAAGAATACAATATTTGATATTAATAATTAATTTTATGATTATACAATTTAGTATAATTCTAAACTGATTTTACTTAGAGAATCAGAATTCTAAGATGGTTCCCTTATTTAAAGTGGATATAAATTCTATAAAATACATGTTTCAAATAATAATACAAATCTTATGATCTTGCTTAAACCAGATCCAAATTATGAGGCTGACCTATTAGTTTCAAAATCTAAATTTCCTAACAAAGACAAATTTGAATGGGGATCTTTTGATCTATACAGTGATGTTTTAATACTTGAGCCTGGAAATAGTATTCACCCTGATTTGTCTGGAGACTACTAGTAGAATCTTATTTATAATATTTTAGTGTTGGAGTTCTATGCTATGTTCCTTGTTAATTTTCTCTTTAGTATCATCTAGGAAATGTGGAGACATATGATATATTCCCTAATTAACCATATAATTTGTATATATTCAATATTATATATTAGTTATGTTGGATAAGATTACACAATCTATCTAAGATTGTATAAGAGTATGTAAACATAACCGTTTATGATTTTTGTGCAATCACTCTCTGAAACAGCATATTTTTATGTAGATGAAATAGATTAATTTACATCAAAACTTAGTTATACTAAAAATTTGAGTTCTTTCAAATATAATAATAATTAAAAGGGATATTAAAAGTAAATGATTACTGAACCTTTATAAATTGATAACATGCTATTAATTGCACTTAAAACTTATAATTCTGAAATTGTTACAATCCAAGTCAGCAGTTAATAGGAGGAAATATTTTTAGATTCTCAAATGTTATTTTAATATTAGCTTGTGAAAAATAAAAAAATTACATTTACTCTTTATCCAATTTATCAATCTTTAATATTATAGGTCTATGTTTTTAGTGGTGAAATTACCTGTTCTTACTCAGTAGAGAAGTTGAATTAGGACGAAAATTTTCATCCTTTATTTCTCTTAGAGATTAAATCAGATAATTAAAAAAATAATTTTACTATAAACAATTATGCAGATTCTTATTTAAAAGTTTACATTGAGGCTATATTCAATTCTCATTTTAGCATTTAGTATTCTTATGAAATAGAGGATACTATTTATATTTAGTAAATTGATTATAATAATTTAGTTCCATATACCCTGTAAATGTTTTATTAAATGGTTAGAGTGAAAAAAAATTGTACTACAATAATTATGATACATATTAAATTCAAACTTAATAGAAGACATTTTAAATTTCTGTTTAAATTAAGGAAGACTGGAATTCTGTACTCTCCAATCAAAAACATAGATCTCTACCAATAATAAAAGTCTATAGTAATATAACATAGATGTAATTACAACCTATAAAACAGAAAATATTATCTAATTTAATATTTAATGAATATATTCAAAATGAAACATAATATACAATAGTTCTTAATAATTAAGCATAATTTTATCAGAAGTATGAAATTTAAATTGGAAACTCAGATCTTAGACCTTTAATACCAAGGATTAAATAACTTGGAAATAATTAATTGCATACAAGTACATATTGGGCATTGTAACAAAATTATGATTATATGTTTTATGAAATGTAATTTTGTAATGGAATTTTTTCAGTTCATGTTGGTAAGGATTTTGAATTACTAAAGAATGGATAATATGATTATAAAATAGATATTAAATAAAATAAATAAGTATTTGGATTTATTGATAAAATTGATCTGGAATTATTTATTTATTTAAAATTTGATTTTATTAAAGCATTCAATAAAAAAATATTTGATGCTTAATATACAATTAGAATTTATTCAGTTGAAGAGAAAAATGATATCCCTTATGATTAATTCTATCCAGGACTTTAGGGTGTCTTAAATTCTAAAATTATAGAGAATTATGAAGAGACTATCATTCTGTATATTGAATTTGCACCTTTGCAATTTACTAAAAAAAATAAATAGGAAACTTTTTGGGTAGAATAAATTGAATATTTTATTATATTAGATGAAAGATTAGATGATGATGATAACAATTTTGATTATTGTTTAGAACCATCAAATGAAAATAGAATTTTTCACAACTAAACTGATAATGATTCTTTATTAACAATTAATGTGACTCTTCCCAATTTATTTAAAAAAAAATAAAGAATCTTCGATTTTACTATTTTAGCTACTGGTAGTTTTTATAATTTTTATATTAGTGGAGGTATAATTGTATAGAGATGATTAAAAAGTTTAATTAGACTATTATTATGAATCATAATACATCAAATGGAATTCCTAATTAAAAATGATTTAAGATTATAAACCAATAAATTATTTATTGGTGGGACTATTTATTGTAATTATTATATTGATGATTGGTATAGTTGCATTTATTAGAATGAAGAGAAAATAAATAATGTATTTATAAAATCATAAAATAAGATCAAAATATGATAATAGTTACTTCAAAAATTAAAAGATTATAGGAATAGAAATGCATCATAGTGGAATAAATGAATGATTGTCATTTGAGTAATAAAGTATATTAATTTATTAATACTTTTTTGATTATCTAAAGTCATTATTCATTATAATTAGTAATTGATAGAAACTTTATATATTATTCTATTAAATAATTAAGATATTATTAAAAGCTTAATAATTTTCTTATGTAAATAAAATCAGCAATCAACTGATGAACTTAATCCAATGTAAGTACTATGATCAGCATTAGATTTATTTTAGACAGAGTATGAGCAAGTTTTATCTTCTCCTCTTACGGCTGCACAAACAGTGTGAGTTCCATCATGATACCAGATTTCTCTGTCTACATGGTAGAATCCTTATGGATAAAATGGAAGCTAAAAAATATAATATAATATTTAATACATGAGGAACAGTGTCGTTTTAATTTACAACTCTAAAATGAGTAATTTTTGTATATTTAGTGAACCAATCATAGAAATCTGGATCTCCTACTCTTGGTGAACCATAACTGAACAAATGAACTGTCTTTCCTTATTCAGCTAATTATAAGGCATATAAAGTGGCCATAGCACCACCTAAGCTATGTCCACCAACATGAAGAGCAGCATATGGATATTTGGTAATATATCCTGGAAGTAATGTATCAAGTTTTGGTTTAAGAGACAAGAAAGCATCATGAAATCCTTTATGTACTTTACATTTGCAAGATGTATTGTATTCAGTTTTTCCAAAAGTAATGTTCTCCATCCAATTTTGAATATTGGATGATCCTCTGAAAATAACTACAATAGCTGATTCTTTTTTATTATATGCTATATATCCTTTTGTTCCCTAAAATTATATCTTAAAATCTTACACTAACAAGATTCTCAAAAACTTCAATGTTAGTCAAATCTGGATACGATCTGCTTACGTAACCAACAGACCAATTATGGATTGCTGCATTAGGACAATATGAAGCAAAAGATAATGCTGCATTTTATTTAGCCAAGGCTTCATTGTAAGTGAAGGCTGAGGCTGTAGCTATAAGCACAAGTAATAAGATTCTTGGTGATGTCATTTATATTTTGATAATAAATAATTCTGATTTTACAAATAAAGAATTACGAGCAATTAAATATAGTCATTTTCTAATGATATGCATTAAATGTGATTAATTAAAAAGATCATGATTTAATTAATAATATTGAATATTGATGACGATTTATCTATTATTATAATCTATATTATTATAATTAATGCTCTTACCTTATATACTCTCCTCAAAAAGACTCTTATTCTATCTAAGTCCAATAAAAACAATTATGATTAGTCTCAAATACAGTTCTTTGATTTAAACAAAGTTAATTATAAAAGACACATTAGTTTTCCATTGTTATTAATCTTCATTAAATTCAGTATAGAATTTGTCCCATCTGAAACATACAATTAGATGATTATTATTATACTACTTAAAAATTTTGCTTGTATAATGTTTTAATTTGTAATTTGTAATATATTTTTGTGAATTTAATTTTCAATAATTCAAAATCAAATTATATTATTTAGATCTATAAATTTATTATTTAATAGGAATCTATTGATATTAAATTAATCATCTCCAATATATGATAAAAATTGTTAATATTAACTTTTGAATGAATATAATGTTTTGATCATAAATCTTTAATGTTTGTAAGATATTCTACACCTGGCAAAATCTTACCTTCCAATAATTCCAAAGAAGCACCACCACCTGTAGATACATGACTAAGTTTATCATTTGCCTTATTAGCACCAACAAGATTGACTGTGTCTCCACCACCAACAATAGTTGTAGCTCCATTTTATGTTTATTTAACCAAAGCATTCAACATACTAACTGATCCATTTTTGAATTATTCAATTTCAAAAGCACCTTAAGGTCCATTCCAAACAACTAATAAAATATATATTTAATTTATACCTGTCTTAGCTCTTCCAATAGCATCAGCATTTTCTCTTTATGTCAATTATCCAGCATCTAAACCTAACCATCCATCTGGAATTCCTGATTTAAGATCATGTAATGCAACAGGACTTGAAGCATCTAATCCAGTACCACATACAAAATCAGTAGGTAAATGAATTTTAACATTCTTTTCTTTAGCTTTAGCAATAATTTCATCAACAATTTTATATCCTTCTTCATCAAAGAGTGATTTTCCTATTGGAACATTATATATTTTTTTAAGGAATGTAAAGGCCATACCTCCACCAATAATCATTTCATCTACTTTATCAAGCATAGATTTAATCAATTAAATTTTATCTGCTACTTTAGCTCCTCCTAAGATAACAAGGAATGGTCTTTATGGTGTTTCTAAAGCTTTAGCAAAATAATCAAGTTCTTTCTTCATTAAATAACCAGCAACTCTAATTTTATGATCAATTCCAACCATAGATGAATGAGCTCTATGTGCTGTACCAAATGCATCATTAACATAAATATCACCCAAAGATGATAATTCCTTTCTAAATTTCTTAACACTCTCTTTGTCTGCTTTAATCTTAGCTCCATTTGCATCAAGACCTTTTCCTTCTTCTTAAATGTGGAATCTAAGATTTTCTAATAAATTGATCTATCCATTTCCAGCATTTGAAGCTTCAAGAGCTTCTGAACCAACACAATCATTAACAAAGTTAACTTTAGTACCCAACAATTCCTCTAATTTAGGAACTACAATCTTAAGTGAATCCTTTTCAACTCTATAAAATTAATATCTTATATTACCTTTTTCCATCAGGTCTACCC